AGGAGCCAGGTTCACATTTCCTGATGGCAACTGTATCCCCTTACAGCTGCCCCCCATCGGTTGGCACCCTGGGCAGCTGCCTGGCTCGCCCATGCCTCCATCTGGCCCTGGCCCCCCTCAAGGATTGAATTTATAACCCTGGGTTTAGCAGGTAAATGCTCAAACCACTGAGCTATCCCTTCCCTGTAGTTATGCATCCCAGAATTTCACTGGATCTCTTAGCTACAGCACAGTACTTGAAGAATATGTTCGCTTATGTTACAGATTAGAAGAGCTATGCCTATATTCCTTTTAGTGCAGAGGAGGGGAACCTTTTTTGGGTCAGGGACTGCAGACTCTCAGAAAAATCAGTTGCAGGCTGCACACAAATGAGAAGCAGCAAAAAACAAAACAAACAAACAAAAAAAGCTCACTGACATGGCATCACTGACGTGGCCCTGATTGGTCCTGAAGGAAGATGACATGATTGATTCATATCAACAGAGTTATTATCTGAGAATACCTGAAGGACAACAATAGCTTTATACACTAGAGTATCTTACAATAATAATTCAATCCACACTGCTGGATGTGGTATTATTTATATAATTAAAGTACAATATAATTCTTAATAAGGTATTGCCCTTCCCTGGATGACATGACCATATAATAGGTTTTCTGTCTCTGTGGTCAAAGCCAGACAATGGGTCCCCTGAAGTTGACAGAAATGGGGACCTAGGTTTTGAGGACCTGGAAATATAAAGGAGAATTTTAGGTTTCTTCTTTTAAAAGTAAAAGCAATGATGATGTCATTAGTCCTATAGCAGCAGGTCTGCAAAATAACTTTTGAAGTAGAATGCACCAGACAAGTTGCAGAAAGGGAGGTTTAGGTTGGACATTAGGTTGGACATTCCCTGACTTCAGGGAACTGGACTTGATGACTTCCAGGGCACATCTTCACTCACCATTCTGGAGATCGACATTCTGGCGTTCGATTTTGTGTATAAACCCGTAAATCAAATACTGAAGGCAGCTCTCACCAGCATCTGTACTCCTTGCAGTTGCGAGGAGTAGGGGAAGTTGACAGGAGTATTTGGTCCCATCGGCCTCCCCCAGTAGGGATAGTGCCAAACTTGGCTTAAGGTAAACTGACTCCAGCTATGGATTCTGTGTAGCTGGAGTTGCGTACCTTAAGCCCACCTTTCGGGGCTAGTGTAGACCTGGCCCCAGTTCCAGTAGTCTATGATTCTATGAAATGTGGGAGGTATCCCAAAGTTATCATCTCACAAATACTGCCCCAAATCTTCAATCCCTGTGGTGCAGTTATTCTGGAGAAATACTTGTTAACAAATCCATTTGGGGGAGGGTAGCAAGAAATGTTTTCATAGGCTTCCCTTTAAAGGCCAAGTCTGGTTGTGGTTGCTAAGCAACAATATAAGTCTGCAGTTTTCATAGTAAATCCAACTGGCAAAGTTGCTAAGCAATATCAATTGTCATCCATGTGTGCGCTTTTGGAATAACCCAGTATTATCTATTATTAGGAAGAGTGCTGTTTGGGATTTCTCCTCCGTCTTAGCCAGGTTGTTACTAGTTGTTGAGTGACAGGAAATTAGGATTGAAAACAACTTTAGGGTGATGCTCTTTGTAGGCCTTCAAGAGATTACGATACAGAAAGCAAACACACTGATTCTGCAGTGGTTACATTAAGATTATACAATGCTGGAATTACATCTCTTCTGATCGTACCTCTGAGTGTAGCAGTATACTCAGTATTTCCTTAGACCTCTACAATGTAATCCACTTATCTCACCGGACCAGTCAGTGTAACATTAAGGGAAAATATATCCTGTCTTCCTTTGATGGTATTTGGATTCTAAAGAAAATTTATCCTAAACTAATCCTTTCTCATATTGACTTTAGCCAGGGAATATTCTGCTCTTCTAAAACTCACAAGACATGTTTAGCTTATGAACCTTTACATCTACAAAGAATGTATGTACTAGGATCAAATTCCAGGTCACCTCTTATAAATATGCGGAATCAGCTAAATGATATGTAGCTTTTGTGCCTGTTTGGTCCCCAAAACTATGTGGTTTACTTTCTCGATGTCCTCAAGTATATTGAGGGCTGTTTTGGAGTCCCTCCAAGGATTATGGGATGTGGTTGATGTGTTTTAGCACAGAGTCACCTGAGCCACATACCACTCCCTTCTCCTTTCCAATTACTCATGCTTCTGGCATAGTAAACTACTGCGTACAGGCTGTGAAAATATTTGCAGTTTGGCCAGCCAAAGGAATGCTCCTTTGCATATGTTCAGATACTGACAGCAAATATACAGAGGGTCTGAATCATGAACAACCACACACGGTTGATTTCCTATCCCCCTCTCCCTCACAATTTGTGCTGAACAAGTTATCTTCCTCAAGTTATCTTCCATTTCATTTAGTTGGGTTTTCCCACATGGATATGGTAGGTGGAACAGTACTATGTGCTAGCTTGGGGTGTGTGTGCATGGATCTATGAATGAAGCTTCCTTTTTGTGACTGGCAAAGAGAGAGGATATGGCACCTGTCTACTACTAGTGCTAACTAAAGGTGTTTTTCTGTACTCTAGGAAGAGGCCTTTGGTTTTACAGGTCAAAAGAAAGTGCTCACACATACATTTTAGATAATTTTACTATGTACCAACAAGGAACATTATGATGGCCCAACTAAAAATAAATAAATAAAAGCAGTATTGTCATTGTCAGATATAGTGAAAAACCCAATGTTCACCTTGAATAAGTTTTGCAGAACCTAAGCCAGGAGGTAGAGTCCAGGGAAAAGGAAGGTTTTAAGCAATTTTCTTCCCTCCAGTTTGTAGGCACCTGTGCAGAGTCAGACCAGCTGTTTATTGTTCTCATTTATGACAGCCTATTCTGAGCTCCCTGTGAGCTGGAGTTCCCATGGCACTAATTGCTACAGAACAGAACCATCACTAACTCCACCCTGAGCATGTCCCTATGCCAGAGGTTGCAAAAGAGAGTAGGGAACATAGTCACTTCTGCCTGCACCAGGGAATTCTCCAATCAGTTGCTGTGCACAGCATATAGGGGTTAGAGTTGGAGGCAGAATCACTCCAGTATATAGCTCACAAAAATGGGTCAGAAGCAATGGAATTCATTTAGGTCTTGAGCCTGAAAATATTTTGTTCAAGTCAGATTACTGCATAAAGTTGTTAAATTGTATATGTCAATAACCTGAGGCTTTCACAAAATCCTCCCAGATGAATTCAGTTGTTAGTGGCTATTGGCTATACAGGCAGTCCCCGAGTTACTCGGATCCTACTTACGTCGGATCCGCACTTACGAACGGGGCTTTCTCGCCCCGGAGCTCGCAGGCAGCGGGACCACCCAGAGCGCAGCAGTCCCGCCACCCCCGTGGCGAGAAAGAGAAAAGCTGCTCCGGGTGCCCTTGGTCTGCTAGGGACCGTCTCTAGCAGACCAGGGACAACGGGAG